CCGGCTGCCCTGTCCGCGCGGCGCCGGCGCCGTAATCTCCCTGCGAGGGAGCGCGCCGGCCAGGCGCGGCCTGTCCTGGGGCGCCGGGGCTCAGTCTGGCGCGGCCGCGGCGGCCGTCTGCCGTGGTGTCACGCCGAGGGGCACGTGCGTGCTCTGCCTGCAGGCTGGACGGCGCTGACTGCGCGCCCTGCCGCTTCCCTTTTCCCACGCGGGGACTGCGCTGACCGCGTACTTGCTGTACTTGGTTACAGGCCAGAGCGGGGCCGGGAACAACTGGGCCAAGGGCCACTACACGGAGGGCGCGGAGCTGGTCGACTCGGTGCTGGACGTCGTGCGGAAGGAGGCCGAGAGCTGTGACTGCCTGCAGGGCTTCCAGCTGACCCACTCCCTGGGCGGGGGGACCGGGTCTGGGATGGGAACCCTCCTCATTAGCAAGATCCGGGAGGAGTACCCCGACAGGATCATGAACACCTTCAGCGTGGTGCCCTCCCCCAAGGTGTCGGACACGGTGGTGGAGCCCTACAACGCCACCCTCTCAGTCCACCAGCTGGTGGAAAACACAGACGAGACCTACTGCATCGACAACGAGGCGCTGTACGACATCTGCTTCCGCACCCTCAAGCTGACCACGCCCACCTACGGTGACCTGAACCACCTGGTGTCGGCCACCATGAGCGGGGTCACCACCTGCCTGCGCTTCCCCGGCCAGCTCAACGCCGACCTGCGCAAGCTGGCCGTGAACATGGTGCCCTTCCCGCGCCTGCACTTCTTCATGCCGGGCTTCGCCCCGCTGACCAGCCGGGGCAGCCAGCAGTACCGCGCCCTGACGGTGCCCGAGCTCACCCAGCAGATGTTCGACGCCAAGAACATGATGGCCGCCTGCGACCCGCGCCACGGCCGCTACCTGACCGTGGCAGCCGTGTTCCGGGGCCGCATGTCCATGAAGGAGGTGGACGAGCAGATGCTCAACGTGCAGAACAAGAACAGCAGCTACTTCGTGGAGTGGATCCCCAACAACGTGAAGACGGCCGTCTGCGACATCCCGCCCCGGGGGCTGAAGATGTCCGCCACCTTCATCGGCAACAGCACGGCCATCCAGGAGCTGTTCAAGCGCATCTCGGAGCAGTTCACGGCCATGTTCCGGCGCAAGGCCTTCCTGCACTGGTACACGGGCGAGGGCATGGACGAGATGGAGTTCACCGAGGCCGAGAGCAACATGAACGACCTGGTGTCCGAGTACCAGCAGTACCAGGACGCCACAGCCGAGGAGGAGGGCGAGTTTGAGGAGGAGGCCGAGGAGGAGGTGGCCTAGGGCGCGCGACCGGTAACGCGGAGCGGTGTGAACTTTTATTCACTCAGCCTGTCCAGCCACGTCTCACTGTGTGCACTCGCTGTCCTGTCTTCACATCACATGCTGTACAGACACCATTAAAGCGTTTTCATAGTGTGCGGTGTCGCCTCTCCAGTTCCTTCTGATAGGCCCTCCGGGTGCTGTTGCCGAACGTCAGCGCGTAGTTGTCCTGCATGGCTGCACGGAGCAAGGCCGCTGCTGAGTGGGCCTGTCACGTGGCCGGGGACAAGCACACACTGGCTCTCGGAGGGCTCAGCCTGCGCCGTGAGCGGGGTGGGCAGAGGGGCTGGGGCCACCCTAGGCCTTGGGCTTCCTCCCGGTGGGGAGCCTGCTTCTTGTAGACAGGCCTGGCCTGGCCTGGGGTCACCCTCCGGGGCACAGGCGAGCCTCTGGACCTGTAACAGGCGGCCGGTGAGCCCTTCCGGAGGGCGAAGG